AGTACTAGGTTGGCATCTAGGTCCCCCCCCCAACTTTCACGGCCGAAACAGTTAAATGCAATCACCTCTTCTACTCCACCAGCTTCTTCTCTCGCACTTCCTGACAGTGGAACTCCCTTCCTCCTACTCGCTTCCATGATAGCTATAATCTTCAAATATTCAAGTGTAATATCAATCGCCATCTTCTGATGCCTTGATCTTGATTCCCATCCTCAATCACCCATCTTTACTCTTACTTTCACTCTCTCTCTCTCTTGAGGTGGTGTAATGATTAGCAAGCTTGTCTCATTAGAACAATTAGGACTGTAGTAGTGAGTTCGATTCTCAATGGGTACCCCTTACTTACGGCCTTCTGTCACATCTAAGCTACGCTTGGAAAATCACTACACACACACACACACACACACACACACACATATATATATATATATATATAACAGATGTTATTATCCTATGTGGAGTTTTTCTTTTAACCAGTTAATTCACTGACCATCCTAAGATTTATGTCATATCAGGTAATATTCAAGAAGCTTAGAACAGAATTCATTTTTTTCCTCAAATTAGAGTCAGGAGATGCCATAATTGGTCTGGGAAATTATCTTTCATATTAGTAGGTAGGAGGTTAGCCTAGTGCTGTTCTGCACAATTAAATTCATGAAAAGTGACATCTTGCTCGCAGGAAATTAGCCGCGGACGGCAAGAATAAATTGTTTCAGTAAATTTTTCTTGTTCTTCTATGTGCGGTGCCCTTTCAGGATGTTGGCGATAATGGCCCTTCACAATTTCCTGTCTTTGGAGCTCTTAAAATAAATTGTCTTTTTGCTACCTCTCCTAAATTCTGTTCTGCCATGCATTCACGCAAGCTAGCTAGGTAGGTTAGTTTTTTTCCCTAGAATCCAAAAGTCTTAGAGCAGATGTTTTGGCATGGAAAAGAAATTACAAAACCTCCTACAAAAGGTAGCAAAGGAGAGATAGAAGAAGGGACTAAGTATAAACTACAAGAAGACGGAATGCACGGTCATCAGTAAAAGGATGAGCCCGAAATACGAATTGCAGGTCGGGGAAACTAAAATCAAGCAGGTGCCGAATTTTAAATATCTGGGAAATGTTTTGACAGAGGATGGTAAGTGCGACGCTGAGATCCGAAGACGTATTGGGATGGCCAGTGACGCATTTCAAAAGCTCGGCAGAGGATTGCGACACAGGAGGATTTCATTGGTAACAAAGAAAAGAGTACTGAGCTGCTACGTGACATCTGTCCTCCTTTACGGCAGCGAATGTTGGACGGTCTCCTCAAAGATGAAGAAGAGACACGAGGCGGCGGAGGTATGGTTCTACAGAAGGATGCTGAGGATATCATGGACCGAGCGTGTGAGCAACGATGAGATCTTAAAGAGGTTGCAAACAAGGAGGAGACTTAACATCAGAAAAAGGCAGCTGAAATTTCTGGGACACATAATGAGAAAGGAGGGCTTGGAGAATCTGATACTCACGGGTCGAATAGAGGAGAAAGAGAGACAAGAGAAAGCAATGTATGACATTCCTAGCGGGCTTAAGCAAGTAGACGATAGAACAGGGTCTGGCAGAAGTAGAAAAGAGACAAAACAATGAGAGCAACAAGCGATCGGGTGAAGTGGAAGGCTATGATCGCCTACGTCCTGAAGGGACAAGGCACATAAAAAGGAAGGCAGTTTTAGCAAGGACATTTGGGAACCAGATGAATCTTGACTTAACTATTTTAGAGTCGTCGACGTATACATCTTCTATCTAATGGGGTCGCTCTCCCTCCAATGGGGAGCCGTTTCAGACACGAAAGGAAACACGTCTACATTGCTTGACGTGTAGGAACCAACTCCTTAAAAAAAAAAAAATTCAATATCACTATCATTCCTAGGCTCGTTCAGCCAGTGAAAATTGACTTCCTTATTTTCTATTTCCTCTGACCTCAACCTGAGTAAGTCAAGGCAGAGATAGACTTCCCCTAAAAAAATAATAGTCTGCTAAAATATTAACACTTCTATTTGCATTTCTATACTGTATGAGTTTCTTTGCTCATTCATGCTCATCTAGTAACCCTTCATATTATGCATCTCTGTACATTTTTAGTTTCTGTGCTGGTTCATGCCTTCGTATTATACACTCCTTTACTTTACACAGGCCATTTTTTTAATTTTCAGATGGTAGTTTATATATATATATATATATATATATATATATATATATTAGTTCTGTATATTTGAAATTGTAGTAGCCTGGCTCTCAATTTCAGTCAAGATTGTTTTAGGTGTTGCCATAGAAGGATATGACTACACAACCAAGAAACTCAAATTCAAATTGCATTGCCAGGCAAACATTTTCCTTGGCAAAAATAGTCATCTAGAGAGTGCAAAACGTTTTTAAAAGGGTTCAGAAATTTCTATGTGTCCAATACTTTTACATGAGACTGTATAATCTCTCCACTTGAAAAGGAAGAGCATCTCTTACATCCTTGCAAGAAGAAGAATCCACGTTTGGAGAAAAGTCCCTGAACCACAAAACCGGTTTGCTGACTTTAAGTCATGAACTCTGGAGTTGAATAAGCTTATGTATAAGATATTTACTCTCGTATTTTTATTAGTCGCCGAGTGGTTAGAACATTCGCTTTCTGACCATGAGACCAGGGTTCGAATCTAACCATGATCGATTTTTCAGGAAGGTGACCTCTTGATGTTTTCGGTCAGGAGGAGGCAACCCCAGGGTGAAATATCTTTTGAAAGTACCTGAAAACCATACCATGGGTAGCCCCAAGCCCTGTAAGTGAAGTAGGGTAAACGGGACTCTTGGGAGACGTTGGTGATTGTGCTAGGGTGAAGTCACGTGTCATCGTGACTAAGGGTTTGAGCCCGCTAACCTTGTTCAGATTGTTGATCACGCGAGATAACGCACTTTCACCCAGAAACTAAGTTCCGCTCAGAATAGTTACAATAAAAACCACAGGCGTTTGCAGTGGGGAGACGCTAGCCGCCTTAGTAGACTGACATCCTCGGATTCGAGTGGCTGCTTTTAAGTAAGGACATTGGTAGCATTACACAGTGGTTTTCAGATTTTTTCTCCATGCATAGCCCTTTGGTCAAATTGACTGTCGGAGTATCCTTTCAGAAAAAAATTCCATGCTGCAATACCAAAAGTCTAATATAAACAAATGTTTGCAGCACAGGAGTTAGGATAGAATATCTAACCATGAAAAGCTTCAAAATTGCAAGAGCCTGAGGGACTTGTGGGTGTCAACCTGAATCACTCTCATGTCTCACCCATACTTTTTTTCGCCATGTTATTCTTCCCTCCGTTTATGCCATTTTTTTAATGATCTTTCTTTCTTTCTTTCTTTCTTTCTTTCTTTGCTTCTTTCATCCTTATTTCCTCCCTTTCCTCTTTTCTTTCTTTCTTTCTTTCTTTCTTTCTTTCTTTCTTTCTTTCTTTCTTTCTTTCTTTGCACCTTCTTTCTTTCTTTCTTTCTTTGCTTCTTTCGTCCTTATTTCCTTCCTTTCCTCTTTTCTTTCTTTCTTTCTTTCTTTCTTTCTTTCTTTCTTTCTTTCTTTCTATGCTCCTTCATTCCCTATTTCCTTCCTTCACGCTTTTCTTTTCTTTCTTTTTGCTCCTTCCTTCCCTATTTCCTTCTTTCTTTCTTTTCTTTCTTTCTTTTGCTCCTTCCTTCCCTATTTCCTTCTTTCTTTCTTTCTTTCTTTCTTTCTTTGCTCCTTCCTTCCCTATTTCCTTCCTTCACGCTTTTCTTTCTTTCTTTCTTTCTTTGCTCCTTCCTTCCCTATTTCCTTCTTTCTTTCTTTCTTTCTTTCTTTGCTCCTTCCTTCCCTATTTCCTTCTTTCTTTCTTTCTTTCTTTCTTTCTTTCTTTCTTTCTTTCTTTGCTCCTTCCTTCCCTATTTCCTTCCTTCACGCTTTTCTTTCTTTCTTTCTTTCTTTCTTTCTTTCTTTGTTCCTTCCTTCCTTCCCTATTTGCTTTTTTCTTTCTTTCTTTCTATGATCCTTCCTTCCCGCTTCTTTGCTTCTTTCGTCCTTATTTCCTTCTTTTCCTCTTTTCTTTCTTTCTTTCATTCTTTCATTCTTTCTTTCTTTGCCCCTTCTTTCCTATTTCCTTTCTTTTTCTTTCTTTCTTTCTTTCTTTCTTTTCTTTCTTTCTTTCTTTCTATGCTCCTTCCTTCCCTATTTCCTTCCTTTCCTCTTTTCTTTCTTTCTTTGCTCCTTCCTTCCCTATTTCCTTCCTTCCCGCTTTTTCTTTCTTTCTTTCTTTCTTTCTTTCTTTCTTTCTTTCTTTCTTTCTTTCTTTCTTTCTTTGCTCCTTCCTTCCCTGTTTCCTTCCTTCCCTGTTTCCTTCCTTCCCGCTTTTCTTTCTTTCTTTCTTTCTTTCTAGCCTACTTTTATATCTGTCTTTTTATGATCCTTTCTTCTTTCTTTCTTTCTGGCCTTCTGCTATGTCATTCTTTTAATGATCTCTTTCTTTTATGACTTTCTTTTTATGTTCCTTCCTTCCTTCTTTCTTTCCTTCTTTCTTTCTTTCTTTCTTTCTTTCTACAGATGAAATTATTTCTTAACAGATGTCATTATTCTTATATTATACTTGTTTAATTAATTATCTTTATGCAGAAATCGTTCATCTGCTTAAAGCAGATCTCAACACCCTTTTTATTCACACCGCTCTCAGTAACTTTTGCTATTAAGTCACTGTACGTGTAATTAGTAGACTTAGTTTTTTTTTATGTTTTTTTAATACTTTGATTACTTAAAACCATCTCTTGTGACATAGATGTCAGGTCGATTGACACATAATATTCTCGGCCAAAGTATCACGCATCTACTAATGAATTTCTTACAAATGTAATTAATTACCTAATTCTATTTGTAAGTATATTGTCACTGGCTTTTTCTCTGTAAAAAAGAAAGGGCGTGGAAAAAAATAGAAGGAAAGAAGAATGGAAAAGGAAAAAAAGAAAGTGTAAAAAGGTGCTAGAAAGAAAAGAAAGAAAGAAAGAAAGAAAGAAATAAGGAAGGAAAGTATACGAAAAGAAGAAAATGGAATGCATAAAAATAGGTGGAAAGAAAGAAAGGAAATGAAAAAGGAAAGAAAGAAAGAACATGGAAAAAACGTAAGAAAGAAAGAAAGAAAAAGAAAGAAAGAAGAAAACAAAGAAACAAAGGAAAGAAAGGACATGGAAAAAGAAATAAAAAGAATTGACAAAAATGAAAGCATAAAAAAGAGCAAGAAAGAAAGAAAGAAAGAAAGAAGAACAATATAAAGAAGGAAAGAAAGGATTTCCGGTTTAGCAAAG